ATGAGAAAATGATGGCGGGGAGGAGGAGGAGGAAGAAGGCCAGGGGGAGGAGGAGGGGGAGGAGGAGGAGGAAGAAGGCCAGTCGGGGGAGGAGGGGGAGGGGGAGGTGGAAGGCCAGGGACAGCACCGGGGCCCCAGTGAGGACCAGGACACACAGAGCTTCTCCTCTTGAACTACAGAAGGGCACTACCAACAGATGGCCTGGGCTTTCACGTGGAGTCCCTCTCACTGAGCCCGGAGACACTGGAAAGCAGGCCAAATAGACCTGTGCGAAGAATAGGGAGCAGCAGGACACAGGCCACCAGAGAGGGCGCGCTCTGCTCGGCCAGCGCAGGACTGACCTTGAGGCCCCTGGCCCCTGGTGCAGAACAATGAAAACAGGGAAGCCCAGGCGGGGGCCCAGACTGCGGGTGAGTGACCTCCGTGTGGACGGGAATCCTGCAGTTAGAGCGAGGACTTGCCCGCAGCATCCCGCGCCCCCAAAGTAAGTCTTCATCGCTCCCAACCCCCTCCTCGTCGCCGCAGGTGCCCAGGGAGGCCCATGAACAATCCGGGCAGCCCTGGATGACACACCCCACTCCGCGGAGGGGCAGGTCCTGGGTACAACTCCGACAGGTGACGCTGCTTTGTTACTCTCATTTTCAAATACTCTTCATAAGCCCCAGAGTTCTTAAGTTCATTTGAAAATAAAAATCAAACACATACTGGTACCAAATCGAAAGACAGCCAAAAGGCACGGGCAGGGGACTCAAGCCTGTGTTCTTCCTCTCACAGGGGCTCAGCCGCACCCGGCTGCGCAGCGAACCTTCAAATGCCTGCCTCCCACAAGCTGTGTGAGACAGAGAGAATGAGAGAGACAGACACACAGACACACAGACAGGGAATTATTGGAGGGCTTGTTTTACTTTTTTTGATAAAAATGCATCAAAATTAACCCTCAGACTTCCAGTTTATGGTCCAACACTTAAGGAGCTCAGAAACTACCACTATATCCTCATAAGTAGAAAGCTGAAAAGTCGACTTTTCTTAGACCTGTCAGAGAATCAAAGTCACAGGGCACCCTCCTCGGTTGGGAGGGTGACAAGCAGATGCAGATAATCATAACCCAGGAGCAGAAACTTCCACATGAACCAGCTGAAAAACCTAGCCTACCATTGATGAATTGCTGAAGATTCAGTGTGCACAACTCTTGAGTTAAGAACTCCAGATGTCACAAAAATTAACTCCAAGTGAATCACAATCCTAAATGTAAAATGCAAATCTGTAAAGCCCTTAAAGAATAACACAGGAGAAAACCTGACCTTGGTCCTGGTGATGACTTTTTAGATATAATACCAAAGGCACAATCCATGAAAGGAGGAAAGCTGGACTTCATTAAAATCAAAAATTTCTGCTCTGCCAAAGACTCTGTTAAGACAATGAAGTGACAAGTCACAGACTGGAAGAAAATATTTGCAAAAGACATGTCTAATAAAGAACTGTTGATCAAAATACACAAAAAGCTCTTAAAACTCAGTGGTTAAGAAAACAAATAACTCCATTAAAAATTGGACCTAAGACCTTAATAGATGCCTCATCAAAGAAGATAAACAGAAGGTTAACAAGCATATGATCCACATCACATGTCATCAAAGAAATGCAAATTAAAACATACCAATTTGAATGGCCAAAATCCAGGACACTGACACCATCAAATGTTGGTGAGTAGACGGAGCAACAAGAACTCTCACTAATCAGTGGTGGGAGGACAAAATAGTACAATCACTTTGGAAGAGAGTTTGGTAGTTTCTAACAAAAGTAAACATTCTCTTACCACAAGATCCAGCTATTCTGCTCCTTGGTATTTACCAAAGAAGCTGAAAACTGATATCCACCTCCATAAAACCCTAGACAGGGCTGTTTTTAAGAGCTTTATTCACAATTGCCAAAGCTTTGAAGCAATTAAGATGCCCCAAGTAAGTGAGTGAATAAATAAACTATGGTATACCCAACCAATTGAATATTACTGAACACTAAAGAAATAAGCTACCAAACCATGAAAAGACAAGAAGAGAAATTCAAATTCATGTTACTAAGTGAGGAAAGCCCATCTGAAAAAGCTATATATTGTATGATCCCAATTCTATGACATTCTGGAAAAAGTAAAACTACAAATCAATAAATGGGCTGAGGAACTGAACAGACATTTCACAGAAGAAGAAATGCAATCAATCAACCAACATGAAAAAAAACATGATAATTGTTCATTATCTCTAGCAATTAGAGAAAAGCAAATCAAAACTACACTGAGATTTCACCTCACTCCAGTTAGAATGGCAATTATCAAAATTATAAGCAATTGGGGCTGGGGATGTGGCTCAAGCAGTAGCGCGCTCGCCTGGCATGCATGCGGCCCGGTTTCGATCCTCAGCACCACATACCAACAAAGATGTTGTGTCCGCCGAGAACTGAAAAATAAATATTAAAAATTCTCTCTCTCTCCTCTCTCACTCTCTCTTTAAAAAAAAAGAATTTAAAAAAATTATAAGCAATAATAAGTGTTGGTGAGGATGTGGGGGGAAAGGGTACACTCATACATTGCTAGTGGGATTAAAAAACTGGTGCAATCACTATGGAAAGCAATATGGAGATTACTCAGAAAACTTGGAATGGGACCACCATTTGACCCAGTCATCCCACTCACCGGTTTATAGCTAAAGGATTTAAAGACAACATACTACATCCACGTTTTTGGCAGCTTAATTCACAATAGCTAAACTATGGAACCAACCTAGATGACTGTCAACAGATGAATGGATAAAGAAAATGTGGTACATATACACAATGGAATATTACTCAGCCTTAAAGAAGAATCAAATTATGGCATTTGCAGGTAAATGGATGGAACTAGAGAATATCATGCTAAGTGAAATAAGCTAATCCCAAAAAAACAAAGCCCAAATGTTTTCTCTGATAAGCGGATGCTGATCCATGGAGAGGAAGGTGTAGGGAAGAATGAAGGAACCAATGGATTGTGTAGAGGGGAGTGAGGGGAAAGGAAGGGCTGTGGATACATGAAGGATGGTAGAATGAGACAGGCATTATTATCCTATATACATGTATGATTACACTTCTGGAGTGACTCTGTACCATGTACAGCCAGAAGAATAAGAAGTTGTGCTCCGTTGTGTCAATGTGTCAAAAATGCATTCTTCTGTCATAATAACTAATTAGAACAAATTAAAAAAATTAAAACTCTAAAAAATTAAAATTAAAAAAAGAAAAGTACAACTACAAAGACAGTAAAAAAATCAGTGGTAGCCAGATTAAGGGTAGGGAGACATGAACACACAGAGCCCAGAGGAGTTTTAGGCCAGTGAAACTATTCTACAGGTACAATGGGAAATGCAGGTCATATGTGTCCAAACCCACAGAATGTGCAGCCCCAGAATGAACCCCGTGTCAACCAGGGATGCTGAGTGGTAACAGTGTGTCAATGCAGGTTCATGGATTGTAACAACTGAGGTGTGGAATCCTCAGGGAGGTTGTGTGCTGGGGATTGGGGGTATATGGAGAAACTACTTTCCATTCAAATTTTCTGTGAATGTCAAACTTTGTTTAGAAAGTCTATTATTATTATTATTATTATTATTATTATTATACCAGGGATTGAACCCAGGGGCACTTAACCACTGAGCCGCATCCTCAGACCTTTTTATTTTTTTTATTTCGAGACATGGTCTCATTAGGTTATGTACAACCTCACTAAATTGCTGAGGCTGGCTTTGAACTCTTGATCCTCCTCTGCCTCAGCCTCCTGAGCTGCTGGGATTACAGGAATGTGCCACCCCGTGTCTGGTTCTATTAAATTTAAAAATTTTTGCAAAACAAACTTTCAAATATTCACATATTTTCAAAAATGTGGAGGAGCATGCAGGGCACTGCAACATCTTGATGACCCCCCGTCCCCCAATACTTGCCTCAGCTCTAGGACCTAAACTCACCAGACTGTCAGTCATCGGGCTGTGCTCTAGGTCCATATTCCCAATCTTCTGATGCACCTGGAGCATGGAGCCAATTAGGCAGGCTGGGAGGTGAGGCAGCTAAGGAAAGTCTCCAGGCAGTAATCACCCACAAGAAGGTGGGGCTTGCCTGGCAAAGAGGGCGGCCCTGTCACTCCAGTTATTTTCTCTGCAAATATGCACACTTTTCCTGGGGGATGGAATCTAGATTTTGCACATGCTAGGTAAGTATGAGCTACACCCCAAGCCCCATCTCACCTTTTCATCTTAAGGGAATTGCTTTCTGAGTATAAATGAAAGCTGATCATATTGCAGACACCTTGGGAAATACCAAAAAAGAGCAAAGAACCATTTGTAATGCCACCAGGCTAACGATTCTGTTAGACTCAGGGGAGATTTCCTTCCATTATTTTTTACATACATAATTGCAATCTCAGTGGATGCCTGTTTTACTGCTCTGACTTTTCCGGCTATTATTAGGGGCATTTTCTGTATGGTAATCTTCATTACCGTACAGATATAGCGGTTTCTATATCTTGGAATGTTCAATAATATACTAATCCTCTTAAAGGTTGCACCTTAATACATTTAAGCTATTGAATATTTAAGCTATTTACAACTTATTGCAGTTACAATGAAGCAGACCAGAGACCCCACTCACCCAGAAGAACCTTACCGTAATTAAGCAGAAACCCCCATGATATTTGTAACATATAAATTCCTCTTCTTGTTGGAGAGCTTTATAATAGAACATTAGCAAAAATTTCTACCAAAAAAAAAATTCAGCGTGGGACAGGACTTCCTATTTCTTGTGAGGACTAAGTTATTCTGCTTGCAAAAACTAAGTTTGGCCACAGACTCGATGATATCACTTCTGCTTTTGTTGTAAAACCTCTGACTAATCTAAAAGGTGGGACAAAAGCACTTTCTGTGAATTCAAGAAAAAAAATATAATACAGTCATGTAGACTCCTACAAAAATGTAAATCTTGGAGCCCCTCCTCCCACTGGGTATAAAGTTCAAAGACTTTCCAAATCCTTGGTCCAGAGAATGTTTTAGCCTCTCTGGACTCTGCAGTCAATAAACCTGCTTCCTGAAAATTCCTCAGGGGTCCAGCCTCTTCTTTCCCACATCAGTAACTAACGCTGCGAGGCCACAGGGCCATGCAGAGAGCGTTTCTATATCTTGGAATATTTAAGAGGGATTTTTCAGGTGAGGGATGACTGGGTCAGAGTATCTTGACCTTGTTTATCACAGTTAAAATATGCTCAGTTCTACGGCCCCCTCCTTACGCTCTTAACTCTTGCATTTCTTCCTGTCTGAGCCTCTGCTGGTGTAGGAGATAGCCTTTGGAAAAGTGCCACACTCCTCTCTCTCCTCTCATACAAAGCTCTCTTACCTCCTTTACCCTCAAGTGCTCTTACCAATCGGAGAACAATTGAAAAATGCAGATGCCAAGAAGGGAGAGGACAAACCATAAGTGAAATGGATTGCTCAGGTTGAGATGAGTGTGGGATAAGAAGAAAGAAGGGGAATTCGAGAGAGGCCCAGCAAAGCAAGACCCGGGGGCAGATTCACATGGGCTCCCGCCTTGCTGCTGCGTCTTGAGGAGCTTTGGAGAGGGCTGGAAGGGGAGGGGTGCGGGATGACACGCGCAGCACTCGAAGGTATGAGTGGGAAAGTCTGGGGGTTATTTATAATCTCTGAAGGGTCTAGTTGCTGGATGGGCTCTGTGGTCCTCCAGAAGAGGGGGTTCTGCGATGCCTCAGTTCAGGAGTGAGATGAGGATCAAGGAAGACAGGACCAGGGAAGATGGGTGCTGGCAGACCCTGGAGGATGCCAGAGGGGCAGATGTGGAGCCAAGGCAGAAGGGCTGGTGGGTGAGAAGAGGTGAAGGCAACCTGAGGCAGAAAGCTGGGCCAAAGGTCACTTGTCTGAGGACGGAGGGTTGGCCTACTATTTCTTAGAAGACAGAGGGAAAGGAGACCCTGGGAAAAATTAGACTTTTCCCTCTTCTTCCTTATTCTTTCAACAAATACATCCAGGACCCTTCCTTCATTTCAAGTCAAGACAGGTGCAGTGGTGCACACCTGTAATGCCAGCTATTTGAGAGGCTAAGGTAGGAAGATTGCAAGTTCAAGGCCAGCCTCAGCAATTTAGCAAAACTATGTCTCAAAATGAAAAATAAAAAAGGCTGGGGAGATATCTAGAGCACCCCTGGGTTCAATCCCCACTACCTCAAAAGAACAAAAACAAAACAACAACAACAACAACAACCTCACAGGTCAAACAACCCTTCACAGTCTCATCTTGTTTTAGAGGCTAGGTAGGGCTTAAGAATTAATGAATTGCTGGGTGCGGCGCCCCACTATAATCCCAGCAGCTTGGGAGGCTGAGGCAGAGGATTGCAAACTTAAAGCCACCCTCAGTATCTTAGTGAGGCCCTAAACAATTTAGCGAAACCCTTTCTCTAAATAAAAACTAAAGGGGCTGGGGACGAGGCTCAGTGGTAAAGCACCCCTGGGTCCAATCCCCAGTACCCCGCCCCCCGAAAAAAAGAAAAGAAAAAGAATTAATGACCTAACGGATGTTACTAGCATGGACTAGTGAGTGATGAATGCCAAGACTGTAACACTGTTCCTCAGTGGTGGCACTCGGGTGCATCTGGTCTGATTGCTGGTGATCCACCAGAGGATACAGGGGCGGTGCTCCTGAATGTCCTTCCTCCCAGCCCTCTCCCTTGCACTCCGTGCACTGAGCGAAACCACCAGCTTCTCATCCACTGGTATCATGGGTAAGGCGATGACATTGATGACCTCCATCTTCTTGGAACAATCCATTGTCCAATTTCTTGTAAATTGGCTATCAAAGAGTTTTCACTTTTAAAAGCTTGTCATTTCCCACTCCAATCTTGCTGTTGGTTCAGTCATCCTCCTGGAAATCACAAATCGCAAATAGCATACAACCATCTTAGAAAACACAGGAGGAGGAGACGGACCCACTCACCTGCTCAGCAGGGCGGCTGGCCAGGCTCGCCACACAAGTATAGGGGGTAGGGGGCAGGGGAGGCCTGTCCGGGAAGCCCCTCTTCACTGAGGACCTCCAGGTACACCCAATTGTTCTTTTTACCTGCTGAGGCCCGTGCTTCTCTCCACTTAAAATAAAAAGCCTAGAACACTAAAAAGTTTAGCGCTCCAGATCACCAGGCAAGTTGGTTTCCAAACCAGAAATGAAATTGAATCTCTTTGCCTCTCTGAGACTCAACTGAAAAAGGAGGAGATTTGAATTAAGTGGCTCTAACACCCTTTCCAGATCTCAGATGCTGTGATTCTAGGATACTGGGTCCATTTCCTCAGCACCAGACTCTCCATCTACCTGGGGCTTTCTGCTCCCTCTCAGAAAACTAGTCTCCTCACTACTCTTCCAGGCTGCCTGCTCTCCTGAGTCCTTGTTTCTTGGCCAAGGGGCTATCACCACCATTTGTGGGCCCTCCATATCCAGAGCCTAGTGTTACAGACCTGGTTATAATGAAGCCCAAGACTTAGACCCTGTCCTCAAGCAGAACATACAGATGGAACTAGGGAGAAAAGGTCAAGTATGTTGGGAAAATAAACCTGGATGCCTTTCCACACTCTCCTTCCCTCTCTCCTGGTTCAGGCCGTCTGCTTCTCCCCAGCTGTGACGCATCCTATACGCCCAGCCCACTGGCCACCTTTCTGGTCCCTGGTCATGCATGCTGCACCCTCTGTGCCTCTCTGCTTCTGCATATGCTGTTCCATACTGGACTCATCCCAGGTGACACGAGTACCATATCTCCTTTGAGACCCTCAGGTTTCTACTTTCATCCTTTATGACAGCACTTAGAACGTTGGATGGGAATGATTTGCTTCTACATCTTTCTCCGTCAGGCCAATTACGCCTTAGTGGTTCAGTTCATGCAGTGTTTGATTTCTTTTAGACTCATGCCCACACTTCTTTCTGGTGCAAAAAGGCTACCCGTCTTGGCTGCCCCAAGTCACTAGGACTGCTGGAAAGGCCAGCTCAGGCCCTGGACAATATAGTTGCTCCCTCCTGGTCCCAGTCTTTAGCCATACAGGCCAAGAGGAGAGGGGTGAGAGGAGATACCCAAATTTTAGGGTTTCTCAGTTGCCTCCCACCCATCCCCCAGCAGGACTAGAAAATGGCAACATCTTCTCAGAGAAAACAGACTTAGGTGACACTGTCAAAAAGCCTTCTGCTTTGGGGCTGGGGATGTGGCCCAGTGGTACAGTGCTTGCCTAGCCTTTTTAAGGTTCTGGGTTCTATCTCCAGACAATACACACACACACACACACACACACACAATACATACATACACAGTACACACATACACAGTACGTACATACACAGGCCTCTTGCTTTAGCTTAACCTTATCACTCATGCCTAATGGGAGGATTGAAGAGCATGCTGCTTAGAGAAATGTTTAAGATACACACTCTTTTCCCAGCTTTTCTTGCTTCCTGCTACTTGGGGAGGAGAAGGAGGAATAAATCTAGATTCACTAAGTAGCTGTCCTAGGGCCAGCACTGTCAAAGGCTCTATCCCCAGGCAGCAGTGCATCTTGGCCACTGAGACGTGAATATCCCACTTAAATTTAACATGTTCTAGCATGTAAAAACAATGCTGACCTTGGACCTGTTCACTTTAACTTTTAGTCATTCAATTACTCAATTCTGCCAAAAGCCAGTAGAGTGCTCCTACTGGGGAGAGAATGGTGAAACTAAAGCAGACTTGAACCCTATCCTAATGGGGGTTATATCTACTGGGGAAGACTTGTAAAAATCAAATGATTACATAATTAATTATAATGTATGAAAAATAATTATGAATTAAAATGAATTACTACTGTCACTATTGCTTAGAAGGGCACTGCACTGTGCTAGAGGACTTAAATAGTGTTTTGATCTAATCAAGGAAGTCAAGTTGTCAAAAGAAGAAACTGGAGTTAATTAGATAACAGGGAGAGGAAATTGTCATCCAAACATAGGGTAGCAAGGTTGGAAAGGCTACTCATACAGTAGCCTCTAGTCACATGTGACAATTGAGCCCTTAATTTGTTTGGTGTGACTAAAAAGTTAAATTTTAATTTAATTGGGCTGGGGATGTGGCTCAAGTGGTAGCACACTCGCCTGGCATGCGTGTGGCCCAGGTTTGATCCTCAGCACCACATACAAACAAAGATGATGTGTCCACCGAGAACTAAAAAAAAAAATAAATATTAAAAAAATTCAAAAAAAATTTTTATTTTAATTAATTTTTTTGGTATCACTGAGTTACATCTCCAGCCCTTTTATTTATTTATTTACTTATTTATTTTTGAGACAGAGTCTCACAAAATTTCCAAGGCTGGCCTGCAACTTGCCATCCTCCTGCCTCAGCCTTCCAAACCATTAAAATTACAGGCATGTACCATCATGCCTAGTTAAATTTTTTTTTTGAGAGAGAGAGAGAGACAGAGAGAGAGAGAGAGAGGGAGAGAGAATTTTTTAATATTTATTTTCCAGTTCTCGGCGGACATAACATCTTTTGTTTTTGTATGTGGTGCTGAGGATCGAACCCGGGCCGCAGCATGCCAGGGGAGCACGCTACCGCTTGAGCCACATCCCTAGCCCCTAAATTTTAATTTTAATTAATTTAAATTAAAAAACTAGCTGGGTACAGTGGCAAACACCTGTAACTCCAGTGGCTTGAAAGGCTCAGACAAGAGGATTGTGAGTTCATAGCCAGCCTCAGCAAAAGCGAGGCCCTAAGCAACTCAGTGAGACCATGTCTCTAAATAAAATACAAAAAAGGGCAGGGAGTGTGGCTCAGTGGTTGAGTGACTCAGGGTTCCATCCCTGGACCAAAATAAAAACAAAAATAAAGCAGTGTAAAGTTTAAAATATTGATTATATTTGCAATGAGAATATCATGGACATAAGGGGTTGAAATATTCACATTAATTTTACCTGTTTTTTGGGGGGAGTCTTGTTTTGACTTTATAAAATGTAATTACTAAAATTTTAAAATTACATATGTGGCCTGCTATGTTTTTAATGAACAGTTCTGGTCTGAACAGTGCAGATTTTGGTGCCAGGGCATAGAACTCTCCGCTCTGTAATGCAGCGTGGCATAATTGGAGGAGAACTGCACCTCTGGATCATGTCCCTAGTTGCATGGATGACCTGGTACATCCACTAAGCAGCCAATAAATATTCCTTGAATGACTCGAGTTTTTTCATTTACCAAATGGCGCCAATAAATAAATGCTGTTAGGACTCCTGGAGATGAGGAGTTGTCCAATTCTCTGCCCCTTGCTCGCTGGGAGACTCCGCGGCGGTCCCTGGGCCTCAGTGCCCTTTACCCGAGGCCGCCCAGGAGAGTCAGGGAGCAGGGAGAGGCTGCCGCAGTGGGGTCATCATGCACCTGTCCATTGTCTTACCTAAAAGCTTCCGCGGAATCCAAGGAACTTGGGGCGGGTTTCCCCGCGGGTCCCTCAAAGGACCCAGCAAAGTTGTGCCTGGCCCAGCACCGCGGCCCTACATCCACCAAGAAGGGGCGCTCTTTGCTTTGTGGCCGTGGGGAGCAGTGGGTGGAAGGGAGTCGGGGAGAGGCCCATTTTGCTACTGTGAGTCTCGGCGTTCTCCAGGCAACACCGGGCGCGGTCCTTACTTTCACCTTTTCCACAACAATGGAACCGCCTGGAGCCTCCCGGGAGTCGGCGAGACGCCGTTACCAAGGCGACGCCCGCGGACGACCAGACCAATGTGTTTGTGGGGAGGGTGAGTGCTGTTCCTCTTTGTCGTATGACACAGGCGCCTTACAGCTCCGTAAGACATTTCCTTTCTATCATCCACTTGATAAACCAAAGGGAGACCACCAAAAGTTTCCGGTGCCTCTCGTAGGCACGCGTCGGGTCTCCTCCGCGCCG